GCCTATACATTTGAACCAGTTAAGCGCTTGGCCCCTCAAAGCGCTGGTAGCTAAGGTAACTTTTTGAAATTCGTGCACGGGGTAGAACATGAAGTGGTCATCCAATTTTTCCAAAAAACTAGTTACCGGTGAGTTTCCATTAAATGTTGCTTCTGGTTTCATCGAAGCGCGCATAGTCTGGACGATGTAACCAAATCCTTACAGGGCGGCAGCTGGCATTTTTGGATTCTGAGCTGCTTCTGCAGGCAGCACAGGTTCTTCTTGAAACTCGGCCATGGTTATTCTTCTTCGTTGGGCGCCACTATCAGGTTCAATGTTCCGTCTTACCTTCTTCGGGACATGCAAGGACCTGACTCGGAACAGAGAGCTTACTAAAGCTATGTTCACTAATTGTGGGGAAGTAGACAGGATACACAAGAAGGGTATGCAAAACCCTTTATTTTTCTCTATTTACAATAACTTCCGTACTTCGGAATACACAGACCCGCTACTTGGGGTCTAACGTAAAAATATAAAAATAGAACTAAACTCTAATTTAACTTTAAAATAGTAAACGTGGAAGATTGGCCTTATATTAACAGGAAGCCGTATGTAGTACAGAGAACTGTGAACACTACAATACGTTTAAAATTTATCAAGAGGATTAAAACCTCTGGCCTGGAAGGCAACCAGCAACTGAGTAAACTTCTAAGGTAAGCGGCCTGCTTCGACTAACTGCTTCCTCTCTCTCGCTTGGCAAAAAGCCACAACTTAAATACTTGGCGTTCGCCAGACAAACTTTGCATAAATACTTTAACGCTTATAACTCTGGCCGGAAGTAGAAAATAAGAAGTGATAGTAAAGATTTAAAATAAAATAAACGTTAGTAAAACTTAAGATCCTTACAGGGTAACTAACCCTTTATTGTTTCAATAAAATTTAACAAAACTCCGCCTGGGAGTGTACAAACAAAGCCCTCACTCGGGTTTGAACTTAAGAGACTAAGAATTAAACTAAAACTAATATTAATCAAAGAAATATAGCCGAAGCTATCAAGATTCAAATCGAGTTGGCCCCTTAACTTATTTGACTACGAAGCAAGGGCCTGAGTACGGCCGAGCGTAATAACAGCTTTGAGAGAGAGAGTGACAGAAAAGGCAGACGCGCGTAAATCAGAAACTCTGATTCTCTCTGCCTCTGTAAGTAACTTCGTGGTTTAAATACCGTTCCTCCTCATTAAATATTCAGCAAGATTCCAAAACTATGTTCTGGCCGGAAGTAGTAAGTTGAAGTTAAGAATTTGACAAGAAAGGAACTTTAAATTAAAAATTAACTGTTAATAAACTTAACATAATCCTTACAAAATAGGAGAGAATAGAGATTATATTTCATTTTTCATATGGCAGTTTCATTTCTTCTTTTCAGGGAATCGATCTTTCTATCGACAACACATAAATAATTTTTAGTTACATAAATAATTATTTATGTACCTAATAGTTATTTATGTAATTATTTACATAAATAATAATATTTATGTAAATAATTAAAACAGTTATATAAATAATTCTGATATAACTTTCTATGAAATTTTAAACAGAATTATTTATGTGTCTCTTCTTAAGAGCGTATCAAGATTTTAAATCAATAATAATTAAATATATTTCACTGAACTGACAGTTTCAAACATTAAAAATCAGAAGCGACACTTACTCCTTTCGTACTTTCACACTTACGTTTTATCTCAAAGGGTTGGCAGCTGTTTCATCGAAAGTAATTCTTTCCAGTCAAGCATTTTAAGAATTTATATTTATGAATTCCATTATAAACATTCTAACTTATATTAAATGTGTTATCAGATTTGAGAACTCTATTAACTGATTTTTGCATACATTTGCGCTCAGGTATTAAATACATTTAGTAATCAAACATGTCCAGGCATTCCTAAATATTAATTACCTAATCCTCTGTTTATGTGAAGTGAAACTGATCCTGTAGCTATAAAATAACTTACTTTCGACAAGGTATGGGAAGTTGGTATCCAGAAAAAAAATCTCATTCACGTAGTATACAAGAATTTCGAAGCAGCATATGCAAACTTCCTTAAATATGAGAGTGTAGTGATTGTTTTACAAACTGAAATTTTCCTTGCACAGAGAATGTACAAAAATTTAGATTTTATATTTACAAGTCCTTCAGATCCCTTTGTTTCAATTTCTTATAAAATTTTTGCTTTTATTTTAAAATTTGTTTGACTACAAGCATATGTATAGGATCAATATTTAAGAGAGTAAAGTTTGCATTTGCCGTTTTGAAAATACTGTAGACTGTGTGAATGTGGTTTTGCTTCTGAATAATAACCACCATAATTTTTCTCATTTTGTCAAAATTAAGTTATTTTACAGCTATAGAATAAGTTCCGTTTCAGATAAATAGAGGATTATATAACAGAGTAATTCGTTCTTTGATACAGTGTTTTTCAACTTTTTTTAATAAATGGTCTTCGCTGAATTACCATTTATTTTGGTATTTGTTTCAACCGGTGGGAGTAAAAAGAAAAAAAAAATATTTGAAATTTACAGACCCTTTTCTTTTGAGCATTAAATGTTTTTTGATTGATTAATATACGAATTATTCTTAATTACATATCGTTATAAGTATTCTTATAAGATGTTTACGTTTTTATTAATAATTTTCTTAAAATGGTTAAAAGTACAATGAAAGTAGCATAGTAAACGAATAAAAATTCAGTGTAAAGATACAAAACAGGAAATTATTGATAACTGCAATTTAGTTCGAAGCGTCGTTGTTATGGCAAATTTTTGTTGCAGAAGTTTCGGTACAACACGTGAGAACTGGGAAGCTTCTGAGGAAGAAGCATTCTCCGGAAATTCCATCAAATTATTTTAATTTATGGTTGACATTTTTGAAATAGCATCAAATGCAGTTCTTTTACTTTGTTATGTTGCAGGTCATATTTCTTATTTTAGGACAAATTTTGAGTCGATAATTATATCATAAGATAAAATAACTTAAATTAAGAAAACAAATTCTTTGTTTGGAAAAAAATCTGAAGAAGGTTGGATACATAAAAGCCTGGAGTGCTCAGGGATAAATTACTTATATCTAAGGGGAAGCTAAGCTAATATTTTTATGAAATTACATGCAAGGACTTTTACCATATGTCCATTCAATTTTTACCACATATTTTTAGTAGTATTATAATGAATAAATATTAAATAGTGTTCATAATAAGCATTTAATTTTGTGAAATACCATAATGCTTGTTTATAATTAATGCTCAGAAAAGATTTGCAGCTAATACTTTATCTCACATTTTCTCTAGGGAAGAAGACAGATCTCATAAAACAAGCAATGGAGTTTCTTAATAATAGCACTTGCATTCAATTTGTCCCAAGAACTATTGAAAATGACTACATTCGAATAGAGAAACGCTCTGGGTAAAAGGAATTCATAATTCGTTTAGAACCTCTTATACATATGTCGTTTTGCAGGTAGATTTAGCTGTATCAGTTTGAACAACGTTTATAATATGCACCATGTTTTGAAATTTGTGCCATTTTTATCTGAAGAAAAGTATTTGATAAGAATTATTTTCATGGTGGGGTATTTTATACCTCTATAAGAGGTAAAGTTTTAGATGTCAAAATTTTTAAGTCTTATAAAAATATATTATATTATTCCACAGTAAAGTTAAGAAAAAATCAACTTTTAAATTGAAACATTGAAAAATATATATACATAAACTACTAAAATGAAAATAAATTACGTGGTAGATTTCATTGTAAGTAATATTTAAAAATAATCAATAGCTGATTTTATTTGGAGCGCTCTGAGAAATGCATGCGGAGACAAGGCAAATTGTGTGACATAATGCATTATAACCTTGAAACTGAAGAACCAATGATGTTTCATGTTGTAGTATATGTTTTGCAGAATGTAAAAAATCGCCCATTTAATGTCTTTTTATTATTCTTATTTTAAAAAAGAACGAAGTGTTTGTTTTATACTCTGTGAAAATTTCAAAACTTTTTAACCGATACATATTTCGACGTTGAAAATTTAAAAGCGTGGGAACCAAATAGTCAAAATAATCGAGCGTTTTGAAAATTCTCCAAACAATATCAGAAACAACTTTAAAAGTTTGATAAAATCTCATTTAAAATTTTTTTGACGCTGTATCCGATACTTCAAAGAGTGAATTTTTGTTATTTGAGTTTTTTCGTTATACTGAGAAATATAAGAAAAATGTTTAAACATTAAATTTTAAAATAATCGAAATCAAATTTTAAAAACGTCGCTTCACCTTGCATAGTCATAAACAAAAAAAGTGCGTACAAAATTTGAGCTCGATGACTCGGAAAGCAGGTCAAAAATCGATGAAAAACTTCCGACTATAGTTGCAACAGTGGCTGCTAATGCAGGATGACGCATTTTACGAAATCTTGAAAAACATTGCAAAATTATTGAATCACAACTTCAATCTAAATGTAATATGAATCAACAGATGCAGGTAAGCCAGAAAAGCTCTGGGTGAGTTAAAATTTTCTGTTTATAAGAATTTTGAACGAATCAAAGCTGTTGATTTTTAAGAAACGTGTAAGGAAGAGTTTGAAAGACGCCATTTCAAAGCCATATGCTATTGTAGTGGCGTCATCTGACGTCACAAAGAATTAATGAATAGTCCTTGGTTTCTTCGGATTATTGCTTGGTTGGGGACTCTGATGCCTTTCTGAAGATGTTAGAAAATTAATGAACTAAAAATAAATAGATTAAAGGTTAAGATGGGTGTAAGTAGATAGTAATTTGAAACATATTGGAGGAAATAAAGTTTTCATTAAGAGCTTTTCCAAAAGTGGTCAGAATGGACTTCAAGCCACGATTAAGGAAAAATCTCCGGAAGTAATTATATCCTTGCCTAAAACGAAGAGTCCTGTTATCCTTTCAAGAGTGCTGTCCTATTAACATCTTTATGAGGAAGAACATTCAATCTCGAATTGATAATGGTTAGGTCAGAGAAGCTAGTTCTGGAGTGTATGCAGCTAAATCTTCATAAATCTAAATCTGCGACTCAGCAGTTCATTTTAAATAATGAAACTGATAATATTGATCGCACGCTGGTTCAAGAGCTTCATTGTTGCAAGAGTTCTCTTCTAGGTTACCCTGGTACTTATAGACTTGATTCCAATTCCGATACTGTTAAGACGACAATTATCGTTCGATCACATGATCTTTCAGATTTTTTTGATTCTAAAAATACGGATTACAATACAGTCACATTGCACTGTTGTTGGTACGATTGTGTTCACTCATTTCATGATATGTTGAGTCCTCAAGAAATGTTGATTTAGATGCTCATAAGATTAGTCAAGTTTTTATGTACAAAAATCTTAATCAACTGGTTTGGTGCACGGATTCCAATGCCAAATTATGGTCCCTGTTCAGAAGCTCGTTGAGATAAGCTGAGTGAATTTGTTTCCGTCAACAATTTATTTGTTATTTTGATTGCCGCGATCTCAACAGCTGATGAAATGCTCGCATTAAAAAGCAAATCAAGTACCAGAATCTGTTTTACAGGTGCTCTTTTGCAACTGATATTTGACTGTCATATACTAGTAGACCAGGGATCGAATCTCAAGGTCATTATCATCTTCAAGGACATACGAAACTCGTGCGTTGCTACACTTCTCGTTGCTGCTAATAGATGACATGAGCAAGCAGCTACATACCAAGCTGCACCAAGCGAGCATTCTAACACGTGATGGCCACATTATACATTATAAACGAAGATTATGGACCTACCATTCGTGCAACTTAGGGTTCAAGCCAATTGATACAATTACAGTTAATAGTTTAGTTCTTATCCAGGGTATTTCAAGTTCTCTTTCTGTGGTCTCGCGGACACTAATCATTCCATTTAAATTCTTCAGTATACAAAGTAAGCAAATTGGCTTCGTTTTCATGAGTTTTGCTTTTCTCGAACACCCATATCTTTGATATTATTAGCGGTTGTACTGATGGTTCCTGCATAAATGGAGTTGTTGAAGATCTTGGTACTGCTCTTCTCGAGGCATTTTTATTTTTAATGCCTGTTAAGAATCATGTTGTGCATAATGTTTCTTGGTGGTCTATTGACATTCGTTGCATGAAAAAGAGACATTATGTCTCTAGACGAAGATTTCAGCGTTGCAGGATTCCGACTCTTAGTGAACTGTTTAAATGTGAATATCTTGAATATAGTAAAGTATATAATAAAATGCTTACTGACACTAAATCTAACTCCTAGAAGATATTTCTTTCGGGTATTGATGTTAGCAATGTGTGGGAAAAATTATACATATGATGTTAAAAGAGAATTCGTGAAAAGAATTGAAATAACTAATATTTGTCTATGTACGGAAGAGACAACGAATTCTGTAGATGAGGATATAAATGTTGTGTTTCAGAAATATTTCCGTTCTGATCCAGAGGAATTATAATCATTTACATAAGGAGTACCATCGGTCGGCGCGTACTGCTATTTTTTCTTTTGATGACTCTTGTTTTGCCTGTGATCAAATTAACGCAGTTCTTTCTATGCTGGAACAAAATAAATCACCTGATCCTGATTCTGTATCAAATGAGATTATTAAGCAGTTTTACTTGTTGTTTCCTTCTCTTTTCCATAAACGTTTTAATATTTCTCTGAATGTTGGAATTTTTTCAAGTGTTTGAAAGCATGTTCAAGTGATACTTATGTCTAAAGTAAATGAGTGTAGTGTTCCATTTGGATAACCTTAGATGTATAAGATTAATTTCTGCTTTAAGTAAGAGCCTGGAAAACGTTATTTAACAGAATTCGTTGGTATCTGCGCCGAGGAGTTTTCTATTTGGTGATCAGTACGGTTTTACATCCTAGAGAAGTACTGAAAACGCTCTTTTACGCTTGAATGAGATTGTTCAGAGAGGTAAAAAGAAACATTTGCACATTATTTTGGTTTCTCTTAATGTAAACGGATCCTTCGATAATGCGTGATGGCTTTGTATTCTCAACCTTCTTAAAAATATAGAACTACCAACGAATACGTTTTCACTTGTTGACTTTTAAATGATAGGACAGCCAAACTGCAATTGAGCTCAGCTTTTGTGATCCGTCGCCTTGAAAGGGGTTGCTCTTTAAGCTCAGTTTCTGGACCTACGTTTTAGAATATTATTATTAATGAATTCCTCTCAAAGCTTAAAAATCTTGTCTGTTGCAATACTATTATAGCCTTTGCGGATGATACGTTGGTTTGCTTCCAGAGTAGGGATCTTCCTGCTACATTTTCTCACGCACAGGAGAGTTTAAAACCTGCCTCTGATTAGTAAAAAAGATTTTAAAATGGACTTCAATCTTGAAAAAACCAGAGTCATGATTATTGAAAAGCGAAACATCTTTCTGATGGATTTCAGTTTTTTTCTCAATGGAACTCCATTGGCAATGATAAAGTAGATGTAATATCTTGGGGTTTCCCCTTGATAGTAAATTTTCTTGGAAGTGACATTTAACTTACGTATTAGAGAAATGGTATATGTTACAGTTTGGGTTAAGTAGAATTGCATGTAATACATACGGTAATAATTTCAACCTAGTTCTAGAGTTTGGGGTATGGCGCTTAAGAGGAAGAGAAATTATAAATATCTGCGACGCATTCAAAGGCGGATACTTTTGCAGGTCACTTGTGGATATCGTATCATAAGTTATAAGTACTCTGTTTTTGCCGTTTCTGGTTTCCTCCAATCGGCATTGCCGTTTTGCATATTTCCTTTAGTGAAAATCTCTCTGCTTCCTCTGTCCTTGGTTAGGATTGTGTTTGGCCTCTATCTGTTCTTCCTTATCACTCAGAAAGGAATGCTGTTAACAGTATTCTATTTAAAAATAAAATTTCAAATGATTTCCCTGTAACTTGTTATACTCATGGCAATAAATTTGATAGCAAAGTTGGTTTTACATATGTTGCAATCAAAAATGGTCTTGAATTTGAGCACCTTCGATTTAGGATTCGTGATGAACTCACGTTATTATAACTGAAATTTTATGTTTAAATTTCTCATTAAATGGATCACTGGATAAACTAGTATTGTTTCAGACTATCTCATTTGTACCGATTATCTTTCAACCTTGGAGACCTAAAATGTATTTCTTCTTCTAATAACATAATCGTCGAGATTCAAAGACAACTTAAAAGCCTAAAAGATAAAACATTTCTGTTGCTTTTGAACTTTTCATTGATAAACAGGTATTGTTGGGAATAGACTAGCAGATTTTCTTTCAAACACTGCTACTACGTGCGAGACTAAAATTTTTGTCAATATCATAAAATCCTTTTATAAGAAAGCTATGAATAAAAGCATTAAGGAATCGTGGAATCATAACTACATTATTTCAAATAAAGGAAACGTAACTAAGAGATTTTTCCTTTTCATCAAAAGGACATTTTTACAAGCTATAACATGATCCCATTCCTTACTGACCATGGAATCTTTATAAGTTATCTGACCTCCTGGGTTTCATAAGTTAATCTCCGAGAATTCCCTTTGACTATTTTTGTAAATTATTGCAGTCCTTTATAAGTTTGTTTTAAAATTTTTCCTTTAATGTTTATTTTTATCTATTCTGTTTCATACTTACTTCTGTAAGCCCCATGTGATACTTTGGCATACACGAGGAATTGTTTGTGAATTTAATTAAAAACAATATTTCCGACCATAGCGAAAACCAATATGAATGAACTACATAAAAACGTATAATAATAATAATAATAAATGTTCAACTACTGTAATGTTTTGAATATTTGGCTAGACTGCAATCCAGTCAGTCTGAAAATGTTAAAATTCCTATTGCATTATGAATACAAAAAGGTTTTTAGAGCAGTAAAGAAAACCTTAGCTCCATATAATGCTACATTATATTTGCACTGATCTTAATAAAATTATTTTTTCCCTCTATTTCAGATGCCATTCAAAATTAGGAAGAGGAAATGGAGGAGTACGGGATGTTTCTCTTGGTGATGGCTGCTACAAATTAGGCACTGTCATACACGAGCTAATTCATTCAATTGGAGTTCATCACGAGCAATCCCGTTCTGACAGAGATCAATATATCACCATTCACTGGGAAAACATCAAGAAAGGTAAATAAATTTAATTACACAAGTAATCGTTACCAATGAAAAATTTATGCTTGTCCACATTTATTTGCAAAACAGGTGTTTCTAAGATATTTCAAATGCATTTTCTAGGAAAGGTGAATCTTTCATATCAATTACATACGCTTCCCGTATTACTTTATGATACTAATTAATTCATGTTGATTACAAACACACTAATCTTGACACTAATGTTCATAAAAAAGACATGTTTAATTTTAGAGTTATATAAAAATATTAATCTTATTAGTGTTTCTCAATAATTGTGCAAATAGAATAAGAGTTATATTTTTCTTCAGCTATAGAAAACTAGAGGCTCCAAAATATTATCTGATCTTCGATTCTCTAAATAAGGAAAGATTTAATTTATATCTGTGATTATTTTATCCTAAGTTTTAAAAATGAAGTGAATAAAAGGAAAAACCTCTCAGCTTTTGCTCCGAAACGATGCGTGTCTAATAGCAAATTAATATTTTCCACATCAGAACATTTTGATCTACTTCTTATTGTTCGAATATTTCATTTTGAATAGTCCGAATTATGCGTTTTTTATTGTGTCTAGATAATGATAATTTTATACGAAAATAATAAAATTCTTCAGATATTGCAATTTCAAAAATCAAAATGAGACGTCATAAAAAGTGGTTTCATTGAAATATAAGCTGTTAAAATGTATATTTTTTAGATTAGAATCTCATTCACATCTTGCGTTGTATTTTATTTAATTTTAGATGTATTTTTTCATTTACTAAAAGAACGAAAGTTGCCTAACATCTGAAATCGTTTTCTTATTCAGAATTCTTTATTATGCATTATTTCTAGCAAATTTCACTCTTTAGTAATGAAGATTTTAGAAATAATTTTAAAAGTTTAACAACTTTAGTTAATTATTTATTAGTTCATTCTCAACTTTGCAACATGAGAGATTAAGGGAGTGAGAAAGAAAACGTGAGCATTCAATTTGCCTATAACCTGCAGTTAATAAACACCATCACAAGTCTGAGAAACAGCAAATTTGATGGTCTCGTGCACCTCTTCTTTTGTCACCGACTACAGGTCGACTTTCGGGTCGAGGGATTGTCATACTTCGCTATATTTTATGCCATAGCTATGCTAATCACCAAACATTCAAAACGTTTTCCGAGATTCTACCCAGAGTTTATTAGTATGGTGTCTACCACACTAACAACTATACTGATTGAAGTGTTTGATTTCAAATAGTGTTTACACTTTTTTTTTTATAATTGCTATCTGTCTCTTTCTTTCGGTAACTTTCCTCTTCAGTTTGCTCACTAGGTGGAGCTGTTCGTAATTTAATAGGTGGAGCTCGGTGAAAATGTGAGATTAAAACTTATTAAGTTATTTAAGATAAAAGAATGCTAAATTCATTGTAGTTAAGACGTCAAACAATGTACTTCTATAACGAAAGACAGCGACAAATGTCTCGCTCAAAATATACTACATTTTTTGCTTTAAAATAGATGTTGGTGTTTGCATATTATAAAACTGCTGAGTCCTTGATTCTTATTGTGCACCGTATGAATTCATTTCTTTTATGTTTCTAACCTGATATGGCAACCTGATTTGCTTCCTTAGGCCTGGCGATTTTTTCTTGAGCATTCTCGGCAGTAATCAGTTGATTAAAACCAAAGCATATTCTAAATAATGACTTTAGTTGTGTTGTACATCACAGCTAAAATATAGTATATCAAATTTAAACAATCTGTATCTTTTTAAAAAACACAAATAGATATGTATCCTTGGCTTATACTAATACAGTTATATCACAATGTAAAGTTCTGCAAAATAATTGATTCGATTTCAAGTTATTTTTCTTCTAAAACTGATTAACACAGTATCACAGGTAATGCATGAGAAAAAAACACCTAATTTAATTACGAATTTTTAAAAGAACGTTCTTTGATCGCAAGAAAAACATTAAGAGGATAATAGTTTTTAAAATTATGTAGCTATACGAACAGAGATAGCATAATCCTTTTCTTTTATCTCACACACAAAGGAAAATTATAGGGTATAATATATGTCATGACTTAAGAGCTAGTTTTAAACCTTTAAGTTGCCAGTTCTAGTATAATCTACTTCCTGCCAAAAGAGCAATCAATAGAAGATATGTTCTGCATAAATATTTCGATGGTATTATACAGTGCAAAGATTATTTTTTGAATCGACAGTTAATAAGCACGAAACTGTGCTTGCATGAAAAATAGCACTCACTGGGCATATTTTACAAGACTTAACCTTTCGCGTTACGTTTCTTTGTCGATTATACATACAATTCGGCCTTTAAATAACTAAATCTGACAGAATTATTGCGGAATTTATACTATTCCTTGTCAGTGTGGCTTAATGTACACAGGATAAACAAAGCCTGCTTTAAAATTCCTCATCTATGAATATAAATCTGTTCGAAAAAATGAAACAAATTAATCCTTTATTACACAACATTGTTGCCGTTAAAACCGCAATTCTAGTTTATCTTCTACCAGTACCATCCAAAATACTTCCTCAGGTGGTAAATTAGACTTTTTTAAATTTTCCATAGCTATGAAAATTACCTCAATATCAGTCAATGACCTTAATGAATTCTAAACTTGCTTTTCACCAGTGTATAAAGTGATAAACTATTAATTTGTTTCCAGTTTCTACCTTTAGATAGCATTTGCTGATATATTATGCTAATTTTCGTTATTTCTTCCTTACACTTCACTGTAGAAGGATTCATTATTTAATTTACTAAGTTCTTAAAAATTCTTTAATTTCACTTTTTGTTTGTAATACTCCTTGTCTTTCATTTAATTACAACAAAAAAGAACGATAGAAGCGTTTCTGCTAAAATGAAACTCAGCGTCAAATAACGTTGTTTATATATACTTGACTTTTTTTGCAGAGAATCTTATGTAGTATCATAGTTCTTTTATAATCCCATTTTCTTAACAATGAAGCTCGTATTTTTTAATTTATATGCTTTGAATCATCGGTTAAAATACATTATTTTCTTTCAGGTGGTGAGCACAATTTCCAAAAACGTAAACACGTGAAGAATAATCTTTTGTTAAAATATGATTACAACTCCATTATGCACTATGGATCCATGAGCTTCAGCAAAGACAAGAGAAGAGGACTTAAAACCATAACTGCTAAGAGGAAAGGCGTTCGGTTGTTACCACCGAGAGAAAAAATGCCGACTGTCAGTGATATCAAAAAAATAAATTTGCTTTATAAATGCTCATTCTGATCATAGATGAACTGTTAACTGATTTTTAATAAAAGCATTTTTATGTTTAAAAATTATTTCAATAACTGAAAATACATAAAATCTATGTGAGTAATTGGAACAAAAGGAGCATATAGAAATTATATACTTTGAGAATGAGATATTAAGACACTACCCATAAAATGAATTAAATTAATATATTTGTAATTAAGCTTTTATCGGCTGCCTTCCATATTTTATGAGCTCTGTAATAAATACTGTACAAGAACTTAGGATAGGAAGTTTATGTCTTGCTCTTAAAGTGATTCATTTCGCAAAGTGTTTATTTATCAAAGGATAATATTAATATGGTGTTATTAAATTTTATTTAACTCGTATTTAAATACATTTAAAATATTAGCTTCCCCTCTAGCTCTGAATTAAGTGCATAAATTAAAGTGTATATTAATTACCGCTCTCTTTTATACAGTCTTAATTATAAAACCACCATAATATGATTTTTATCACGAAGAAAGTTACATAAAAATGTAACGCAAGCCTATTCTTTCTAATAAATATAATAATTTATAATAACATAAAAATAATTTCTAATAAATTATAATAGTATTCAAGGCGTGTTTGAAAGAGTGGACTGTACCTAGTGTTCAAGTCTCTCACCCAAATTTTCAAAGACATTTATTCTTCATTTCTAACTTATTATTTTTTGTCTCATTAACAGCAGGCGGCTCTTTATGTTTTGTCTCATCAACAGTACGCATCAACAACTTTAAGATTAAACTTGGAAAGGCTATTTTTTCCAGTAATCCCAGGTAAGAATGACTCAATTCTGGTATGAGTATAAAATTTTCGTTTTGCACTTAAGCGTTGGAATCAGAGGACTTAGGTGGCACTGCAGCAAAATTTGAAATTTCTTTTTCGAAAGGTTTAACGGAATGTAATTTTCACTGAAACGAACTATGCTATGCGAAAATTAAATGTCCTCCCACATTTTTTTCCCTTGCTCAGTTTCCGATTTAACAAACAAAATATAAATAATACTTTCAACAATAAATGTGTAGAGACATCAGGAGTTTTTAGGAAAAAAGATATATATATGTATGGTCACTTTATTTAACCTGTTCCGCCAAACTAAGTTAATGGCACTACACGGTTAGGAAGTCATCCTAGTTATTGCTAGCAACCTGACGGTTAAGCCGCCTTTCTACATTTGACATTAATCTTCAGTTTCTTGGATATAATTCTTTTCATTCACTTGCTTCATTATCTCTAAGATGTCCTTGTTGCAGTAATAGTCCATGAACAGTCTAGTCACAGGATATATATGAGGTAGTCGGAATGAAAGAACTGCTGTCGAAGATGCTCTGTCAGAGGATAGGAGAGCAGGTAGTGAAGTGCGTCCTCGTCTTCCCCTCGAAGACCGCAAGAACTGTTGACACTACAGTTGTCTGAGGAATCGTCTGTAATACACGGGGAATTTCCCATAGTTGGTGCACGCTTGGAAGAAGAGTCGGTTGCATTTGAGCCTCTTGAGAGTAGGTATTGGGAGATGTTGTAAGTAAATCTTCCTGTCTCTTCTTCCTGCCATCGTGATGACCATGTCGCTTGGAATGTTGTCTTTTCTCAGCTTCTACGAAAAGCGGAATTTCCTCGTCAATTTCTGGTTTGAGAGCTGTGGTCTTAGTTAGTTCATCAGCTCGTTCATTGTGTTTCTGTCGGAGTGTCCTTTTATCCAGTTGATCTTAAAAGGGATGGAGGAACCTAACGTCAAGAGGATCTCTCTAAGTGCTGTCGTGTGCGGATGTTTTGGAGGAAAGGAATTCAGCGCATTTAGAACCCTCATGCTATCTGTGAAGATTGAAGTATGAGCTGCTGGTTGCTTACCTAACCATAGTGCTGCTTCTTTGAGAGCGAGGGACTCGGCTTGGAAGACTGAAGCGTGGTTGCTTAGACGGTATTGTGCTTGATAAATTTCTTTATTGTTTGAAAAGACCGTGAACGCTGCCTCTACTCGTCCTGAATTTTTTTCATTTGTCAGAGAATGTCTCTCTTTGCTATTCTGAGAGTTGCGATTTGCACCAGAAAACGATGGGTAGATCTCCTGGGTGTAAGACAGGAGGATCTTGGAAATTTTCTATGCAGGCATATGATAGACTAGAAAGCCTGGCGGTCATAGGAAATAACCGCTGTTCTAGATACTATAAATTATAACATGGATATATATTTAGATTAACAGGGAAACTTGCATGGATATAGTATATCTAACATAAATATACTAAGACTAACATGGATATATATCTTCTGTATGCTTAAAAAGTCAAAAAATATTTATTGTAATTCTACAAAAATATTTAATGATTTTAATTAGATATATCAGGAATTAAATGCATTTTTATTTAAATCAGTCATGTAAAAATAAAATATAATATTTTCACCAACTGCATTTGTCGCTTTTAAATACTGTAGTTAGTTTCTCAATAGCAGACAGATTAAATATCAAAGAGTCGTAACTTGCAATTTTTTCGAATGGAAACAGACTCGAATCAAAAGTAAAATAATGTATTCACAGTGGACTAAGCAAAATCTCGGTTCAAAACGATAGGGCTGTTTAGAATAACAGAAATTCAACAAATAATTTAGATAAATAAAATGATGATAACATCGAGATTTTACTTTTATTCACATTTCATTGATGTGGTAGGTACTCGACATTATGCCAAGATATGAATAAAAAGTAAATTAATTATCTTGTTAGCGAAAGAGAATTTTAAGCGCAAAAATACTGAAATCTCAACACAAAAAATATTTATGCGTTGTAGCCGTCCGACATTTATCCAGTTTATTTTTCTTTGTAATGTTTTAATAATAACTGCAATTATCTTATTTTTTATCTGCTGTTATTCAAGTCGGAATAACGCAGATAATATTGCTGTAGCGCATTCCCGAAAAAAACGCAGATGATATTGGCCTTGTAAAATTCCCAGGATTTTTCTCAATAAAATAGCCGACGCTTCGGAAGCATAGCTTAATCTGCGAATCAGATTACGTGCATAATGGAGAAAAAATTCTTTCTTTTCTTTTTAGTGTTAAACCTAGCAACTGGAAGTGAAATTACAGACAATGGTAAGTAACCTGCAAGGTTTTTTGACAAAAAGGAAATTTTATTTTATTAACTTATAAAAAAATTACTTACAGTTCTGCATGTCAATTCATAATTCCAAAATCAAGATTTGAGGCTGAGTGCTACCTCCAAATTAAGGGTATGATTTAGACTGCCCGCGAAAGGCTTGTTGTATATCAGTCATCGTTTCCTTCTTCTGATCGTTTTAATGAAATCAGTCGACAGATGTCGGTAAGAGTAAGTAACAATTTCATGACGTTGAGACTCAAGTAACATTTTCATGACGGTGGCCACCACAAAATAGCCAACAACTTTTATGTAAGTCGGCTACTGTCGAAAGGACAGAAATCTTCTTATGTAACCGCAACGTAAAGGCGCTGATACTCTTACAAACGACGACTTGAAAAAGCAGCTGTCAGCCTCTAAGCCAAGCTCTAAAGTGAGAAACACAATACACATGTTTCAGTGGGAAACATGAACACTGTGCAAGAAAAAAAAATCTGATATGTTTCAGATTTTAAATTACGTCCAAAGGGGCGTTTTTTAACATTTTGTGTGTTACCTTTCTTTATTAAATATCATGTTCCTCGCACTTAAACCATAAGATCCAGTGCAACAGCAATATCGCAAAATAGTTTTAAAACGAGCATATCTTTAGAATTTCCGATACAGAGACTCATGCGCTGGAGATAAAAATGTTTTTTCTGCACAACGTTGCCATGTCTCGCTTTGAAATCCTTGAGTTTGTTAATCAAAAATTCGTCAAAGTTTTAAAAAATAGGAAATCGATCATAAAACAAATTTCAGGTTTCAAATTTGGTCTTCCACCTGTTCATATTTGTTGGAGGATTACGTTATTCAAAATTCGATGGCTCTATGTACCGTTGTTTTATCACAATGCGAGAAATATACATACACTCAGTTTTTTCATTATTTAATTTCTTCAAATATAATGCAGGACTCTAACATTTTGTGGCAACAGTTTGAAAAGTGAACCGGCGTTTATGATTCCGACGCAAAATCGCAAAATGAAAACAATAGTCCTTCAGGGACAAATCCCTTTGGACTAAAAAGATAAAAGTCTGAAAGGTTTCAGATTTTAAAATACGTCCAAAAGAGCGTTTTTTTAACATTTTGTCTGTTACCTTTATTTATTAAATATCACGTTCTTCGCACTTAAAATTCAGTTCAAGAGCAATATCGCAAAATAGTTTTAAATTGAGCATATCTTTAGAATTTCCGATACGGAGTCTCACGCGCTGGAGATAAAAATGTTTTTTTCTGTAGAACGTTGCCATTGCTCGCTTTGAAATCCTTGAGTTTGTTAATTAAAAATTTGTCTTTTACAAATTTATAAATTTATTAAGTTTTACAAAATATAAAATCGATAATAAAACAAATTCCAAATGACAAATTTGAGCTTCCACATGCCCATATTCGCAGGAGGATTACGTCATTCCAAATTCGATAGCTCTATGCACCGTTGTTTTATCACAATGCGAGAAACATACATAAAATTATGCATATTTTTCATTATTTAATTTCTTAAAATATAATACAGGACTCTAGCATTTGGTGGCAACAGTTTGAAAAGTGATTCGCCGTTTATAGTGACTCAACGAAAACAATAGACCTTCAGGAACAAAGCGCTTTTGGACTAAAAATGGAACAGTTCTATATCTTCCATTCTAGTGGGCCGATTGACGAAATTCAAATTGCATTTTCCATGTTTCAAAAGCGCGACTTAGGATATGTATTGCATTTATATATAGAATTGTTCTAATATAGCTATTTTGACACAAAATAGGACTTTTCCTGATATAACATGCCAATGTTCTTTCCATATTTCGATTCTAGGACTCAAATTATACCAAACAGCCAAGTTTTGTAAAACTCGCGCGAGTAGTTTTTAAAAAATTAGCTCTCAAAATTTTAGCTCTTCAATGATAATTCAAATTTGGTATGTATTTATTAATATCGCTTTTTTATTACACTTACTTGATTCCTTCTTTCGCAGTTAGAAATTTAGGTTCATTCCGAATAAAATTCACCCATTTTTTTATGATTTGTTTTTAAAATTCGTATTTTTAAATAATTTTTATAAACTTTCGGAAAACAATTTTTAACCTGTAAACGATTTACCATCATCTTAAAGTATATGTATTTCTAAGCATACCTACAAAAAATTAGAGCTTTTTATTCAAAATTTCCGACGTTATAAGTGAATTTATACATCGGCGCGTTTTGAAATTTGGCATATTTGTTGAAAGCGATAATAACATCTAATGTGATCTACGCACTCTCTTAAAATTATTTGAAAGTAAAAAAATATAGAAAAAAATTGGCATGTCATTTCAGAAAACGTCCAATTTTGTATCAATATAGCTATATTAGAACAATGCTGTATTTAAATCTAATATATATCTTAAGTTGCTCTTTCGAAACATGAAAAACGCAATTTGAATTTCGTCAATAGGGCCAGTAGAACGGGAGATATAGAACTGTACCTTTTTTTTTCGCAGTGTATATGTTCTACTTACATACCTGTAAGTGGACATAGATTTCAGAAAATTATGCTCTTTAAAAGCTTTAAATTCTGAAAACAGGAATTCTGTTTTCAGTGTATAACAAACACATGAATTAATTATTTTTAGTATATTCTGTGTGTACATTTCATTTTTATAGTATTTGTTAAATGTAAATAAATATAAAAATCATGATATCTTAAATCGTCTGACTCACTGAGATGCCATCAGTATTCACGAAAAAAGCTGCTAAATTATTTAGAACACTTTTGATGGGGATAATTAAAGAAGTTACAAATTGGAAACGCCAAATAATGTATAGCATCCGCTTATATTGTGTCTAAGTCACATAAAACTGAACGTTGTGTCTTTAATCTTGCATCCTGGAACACTAAACACCTGTTATCTTACTAAACATCATTTATACGAAAAAGGTGTTCTACGACAGTTTTCAGCATTGTACATGAACTATATATACTGACTGAAAGAACTTCCAAACCTGTATTTCTAAATACCCTTATTTAGAAAATTCGCCATGGGAAATACGAATTTAGTTTTTATGCTTTCGACTTGGTATTGTACTTTTTCTGAGGAGACACATGGAAGTAAGTTTTCTAAATTTTAGTTATTAAATTTTATTACTCTAAATTTCCAGTTTCAGTGGTTTCTGATTTAAGTGATGAGATTGTGATAGTTTCAGTGTCACGTTCAGTGATAAGATTTTGCATCACTTTCGCTTATAAGCAACCTAAAAATTAATAACATGTCTTGTCTCTCTTTTCATTTACTTTTCTCTTCTTTTATTTATTTTAATGTCTTTCCCTCGTAATTTACTTATTTGCAGTTCAGAGCCGCAAGGATGTCTTAAGTTTCGTAAGCCGTAAATTTCAAAATGAGACCCATGTAATAAAATTCCGTAATATGGTCACAATATATAAGCAAATTCAATACTACCCTCTTTCATATTTACACGCTTGTTTTGAGCTGATGTAATTAAATCCGAGAAAGAAAAATTATTATTGTAAGATTTCAGCAATATTCTCAGGTTATAGGAAACACCTCAAACTCTGCGCTAAAACTTCAACTTTAGCTGCCCCTATAAATAAATAAATACATAAATTAATATAAAAAATTATCTGAAGGCTTTCAGACTTTACATTACGCTTAAAGGGGCGTTTTTTAACGTTTTATGTGTTACCTTTTTAACGTTTTATGTGTTTTTTTAAATATCATGTTCTTCGCACTTAACCATAAAATTCAATTCAACAGCACTATCACAAAATAATTCAAAAAGAGAATATCTTAAGAATTTCCGATACACAGTTTCGCGCACTGGAGATAAAAATGTCTTATGAAATAGATAATAGAACAAATTCCAAACTGCAAATTTGAGCTTCCAGATGCCCAAATTCGAGTGAAGGACTAAGTTATTCAAAATTTGATGTCTCTAGGTACCGTTGGTTTTTCACAATGCGATAAACATACATACATTTATGCAGATTCTTCATTATTTAATTTCTTTAAATATAATGCAGGGCTCTAATATTTGGTGTACAACAATTTGAAAAGTGAAACACCGTATTACAATAAACGACGCAAAATAACAAAACGAAATTAATAGCCCTTCTGACAAATTGCCCTTTTGGGCTAATAATAATTTATCTTTCTTTCTACGAAAACTGATATTTTAAATTAGATAAATTAAAGATACAGCATGTTGAGAAATAAATCACATATTAGTTCATTTTATTTTCATTGTATTCTTGCATTTAGAGCAAAATTACTATCAGAAGAAATAAATTGTGCATTTTAACTTAATTTTTGCAATTGTCCGTACTGCTTACGTTGTAAAAATGCCATCAAAATGTACGAACGTTCTCAAACATGAGTTACAAAAACATGAGTTACATGCTTAGTGACTCAAAGCTTCGGTAAATTAATTACAAATCGTGAAATAAATATCATTAGTTAGAAATAATAATTTAAATAACATTGCTGAAGAATGTTATTTAAATGATCTTCACAGCCTAAATTTCAGTTATCTTAATCTCTGTGTTATGTCAGCAACTCTCAAAATTTAAACATTACAAAGGAACGGTAAATTTTTCGTTTTATCCCAGAGCAACCGCTCTCGTTTCAGGCGAAACGCAAAAAATAATATCACGATTGAAGCGAATGCCTCCTTTTCCCTTGTCTCTCCATGCAAAGATAAGAAACAACTATGAAACCGTAAATGAACAGTTCTCAGTTCCGTTATGAAGCAAATAATTTGAATCTTAATTTCAGGGAAAAAAAGGTAAAATAACATAAAAAACTTATTTCTATGTACCTCGCTTTAATAGATATATCATTTGAAAGCACCAAGAGTAAAAATGTTTACTTTTAGGTGCCAAAGATTGAACAGTCATAGTGTATCGCCTTCCACCATGCTTGGTCTTGAGGTATAACAAGTTAGCTTCTTCACTTGCCAACTGAATGTGTGATTCGATTCCCAGCAAGAACACAGTTGCTTTTTCCTTGCCTGTTTTTTTCTTTTAAAATTTTGAAATATCTTATATTCTGTAAGCGAAAGAACATGTGTAGTTAAAAGGAGGGAAAGTATAGGACTGCTAGGGTTCGAATCCCAGCGAAGGCATCAGTGTTTGTGAAATGTATAGTGCTTGTGTAGCATGGGGATACTCTAAATATGTGGTGAGCTGGACGTCCTCTCTAAAAAGTGGTTGACGGTAGGGTAAGAGGAGTGGGAGACCCTCTAACAAGTTTCCTCGAAATGCAGTTTCTCAAAACTGGGGTGCAACTGAGTTAAAGTCGGGCTGTCACCTAATGCCACTCAAATCTCATGCTAATGACAGACGCATTTGACTCCTTACTACAATAAAAGTGCTTGTACTGACATTGTCAGACAAGGAGATTAGTAAGTACAAAAACAACATATTTTGGAAACATAACAAATAAAAAGTAAATTCAAATTGGGAAACAAACTTGGGAAACAAAAAGAGGCATGAAACTTTTAACAGACTATTTTTATATATCATTCCTTGGAGAAGTTAAATGCGGTTAAATCTCGATTTTTGTGCTTTTCGGTAAGTTGATATATATATATATATATATATATATATATATAAACTATTGAGAAAAATATTTTTAAAGTTAATTCAAATTTATATTTTTCTGTTCATTTCTGTAGATGATTCGGCCATGGAAAATCCAGATTTAATTGAAGGAGACATAGTACCCGAAGATGGCTATGTATGTTGCATCATTTGTTTTTGTGTATCGATTATTTAGCATTAAATTATTCATGGTAACGGTATTTAATACAGTTATACTGACTATTACTATTCAAATTTGTGCTTTCAAAGTTATTTTAATTATTATGAACCTCATTACAGTAAGAAACACTAGATTTCCTAATTATAGATGTAACGGGTCGTTTTCATTTTCTCACGTTATGACGACCACTTAATTGATTAAAAATGGTAGATTTGTTATAATAAATATGTCATTTTCTATTTTTATAACATTTAAACCTTTATTTAAACTATTATTTTCTGATATACTGTTAATTGCGTTTCTGATATATTTCCTTATTATTCTGGATATATATATATGTATATATTGCATAATTGTAGTTTGCTTTAAATTTTATATCTTTATATATATATATATATATCAAAGGTTTAATTAATTGAAGTTCATGAAATTGAAATAAATTTCCTAATGCTTGCGCAATAGCTGCAAATTAATGTAATAATAATTGATTTTTGGCAATACCCCTTTATTCTTCATTTTAATTTCGGTACTTCCCATTTCTGTTCTAAAAATAGTGACTATTCTTATTATATTAGTCTAAACTGCGTCATTCCGAAATTAATCCGCATCACAAAATCTTCTGCAATGCAGACACCTCTTATTCAATCACTGATTAAGATTTCTATTGAAACCAAAACGGTTTTATCTCTACCACGCTTCTTCTGGAAAGCGTCATACACTTCCCCGCTTACCTGCATCAAAGTAACATGTCTTTGCTCGCTTTTGTCTATCATCCATTGCACATCTTATGACATAAACTTCAGTATGGGTGCATCACCGTATCACACATCAGTATAGGTGCATATTGTGTCCGTACTGATGGGTAAATCAGATCATACCTATAAATATATATATAGATTTATAGGAATGTATTATACAGTAATAAAATTATCTGAATCTACGGCTAAGTCTGTCTGCAAGAGCCATTATTCTATCTATGCAAAAGAAACCTCTCCAATCTATTTTATTAATTACTCTTAATAATAACTCTGTTGAAATTATAGTTGAATTATAATATGTATATATATCATTTCATCATTCCTAGTTTTCCGCATTATCCATTGTGTAATCAATGGAAATCGGGAACCTAACGTAAACTTTTCTTGGAACTTCGAAACTTGAAACAATTAATAATAAAATTTGTAACTAAAAATTAATGTAAAGGACAGACAACTACTTTTAGAAGAAATAAAATGTGAAGTTATTCAATTCATGGCATTGAGGCCATTCTAATCAAGTAACGATTTCATGTATTTAAATTTAATAAACACTTTCTGATGTTTAAAATACTGCTTAGTAAATTTTTATCATTTAGTACACTTATATATTGTAATTTATTAGGCGCTAAAATTACTTTCTTCTTCTCACGTAAATACCATACAAAATTTCAACTATTTCCTGAACGTTATACAAAATCAAAAAATGAAACAAAATGACATTAAAACAAAATTAATTCAAGAATTAAATGCACCTAAAAATAAGTGAATTACTTAACAAGAAGCTGAAATATATATTTAATTAATTACAAATACATTTTCTATCCAGAAACCAAATTCTCGAACCTAGAAAGCTAATTCAACGACCTCAGAGAGTAATATGTTTGTTTTCGATAGGCACGCAAAGGATTAAAAATGAGCAGTCATTCAGCTTATGACATTAATGAACCTCCAGACACAAAGGTCAAAGCAATGGTTACTACTAGAGGATATTGTGCTAGCATTGGTTTTAGAAATGTTTCCATAACCAGCCATAAACACCGGATAGATCTATGAGAATTGGCGAGAGATATGTGAGATAGTGAGCGCTGCCTAAGTATATGTACAAATCCGCTATATGACACTTACTGTCATTTCTTAGATTAGCAGTGTCCGGAAATAACGCTGAAAGAACTACTGGCAGAAGCTAGATGCTTGGGGTGGAATACATTGCGACGTCTACCGTTAATTTCTGGGTACCGTCAGAAATACTTAATTTATTATCTAAGTGCTTTTACTTACAATTCAGTTATTAGACCACAGTTTTCTCTTGTCTCAGATAACTGGGAAAATTACCTGTGGAAGTGGACTGTCGTCAGTCAACTGACCATACGTCAATTGTAAAACAGCATATAAGCATCACGGCTAGCATTACTGTTTGGAAAGCTGTCGCCAAAGACGCCATCAATGATCTTTTGCTGCACGTTGTCAGTGATTTTTCCAACCTGTTGTATCGCATCTATCGACAGCGCTTTTTCAGCAAAGTACTCTGCCCTACAAAGCCCTTCTGCTCACCAGAACACCAAAAGAATGTCTGCGAAGACTAACAGCCCTCCCTTGAAGTGAACTTGTGTAACCAGAATACCTGAATGATTTCTGCTTAATTTTAGATACTTCTTTTATATTCCCGAATTATGTCAAGTTTCTTGGCAAACAAACAATTTTTTTAGGCTTTGTTTGCTTTGTATATACATTATTCACATTTGTAGCAAAAAATGCAACACATTGAGTAACTATCAAAATACAAAAACCGCATAAAATTTCTACCTTTTCAATCAACTATTATTTCTTTAACAAAAGGGATTCTGCTTTTCATTTAGAAACTATATCTTCTCAGATAACACTTTTTTTAAACAATTATAAGATTTGCCTGTATTTTGAAACAAGCCAAAAGATCGATATTCTTTGGTCAAGCACATTTTTTTGCTTCCTGTCTCAGCTTTACTTTCTTTTGAGTGTCGCAACATTTCAAAATTTCTATTTACTCATATATTGTAATTAAAGCCAAACAGGAAAATTGCGATTGTTAGTAACTTAAGTCCAACCTGAGGTATTTTTGCAGCCAGAGCACAGTTTCCTTAATGTAGAAGCACCATGGAAAATAAAGGTATATTAAAAATAATCATTTCAGAAAAATAATTTAATAAAAACGTGTGCTAAAATACATAATTGCAGTCAAATACATATTTTGGGATTATCGAATTTAGTGACCAATTAGGTCTCTCAAGTCTATGACAATAACATATTTTGTTGCTAAATTCAGGTTTTTCTCTAAAATGAACAGTAGCTAATACCGTACTTAATAATTTTTAAAAATAATTATTTAATGTAATACAGACCATTTTCAGAACGCTTCATCTTATGAATTTCTCTTTCATCACAATATTATAGTATTTCAATAAATTTCACATATTCAATATGCAAAATGTTAATTTTCGGAACACAATCCTTTTTTTGGCTTATATTATAATGAAATTAGAAAGGACCAAGCTATAGCGACCTTTTTACCAGGATTACTTATTTTTATCCGTTTACATTGCTTTTATGCGAAGGCATCCGAACAATATGAATGAGTATAGAGTAGATATTTTACAAAAATAAATTAACTTGCTTTTCAAACAATTAACAATAGTTTATAAAATTTCTGTGCCATAGTTTTATTCTTTACTTTATTACCATCTGAAACGTATCTCAAAGATAGCTCCTCATTAGCAATAGTTTGTAATAGTTTATTCTTTTCTTTCTTTTGTTAAAAATTAATTTGTTAATTTTGTAATGTACATGATTCTAGCGCACTATCAGATCCTGTCCTGAATAGTCTTTGCACATGGCAGACATTCTCAGTTTTTCCAGAATATTTTAAAGTTATCGTTGCTTGAGAGGAAACTCTTGCTTAGAGTGTATCCTAGATAAACTAGAGTTCCTTAAAAGCTAGAATACTTAAGAACTATGCAGCGACAATTCTCTGAGTTCTTGCGAGTAAATAACATTTCCAGAGACGGGTTAAATTACCCTTTTATACCATTGCAAAATATATTTACAGATGACTCCTCTCAGAAGTATACGAAGCCTTCACTTGGGTTTTAACTGAAAAGAGAAAAATATAAAACTAATCTAATGCTGAATAAATTTAACCAGCCGAAGCTGCACAAAATCAGACTCGTGAAGTTGTCTCTTAGTTAAGGATAGCCAGCATAGGCTAGTAGGTAGAATAGCAAACTAATAGCAACGACGTAGCCGAAAAACAGATCACGGTGCTCTGCTGAAGTGGCCCTGACTTCAGCTTAAATACTCATTTCTACCTTATGTGCGTAAACCGTAATCCTGAAAACTCGTTCTGGCAGGGAGACGTAGATAAGAAACCAGGACGTAAAGTAAAGGCTTGTTCCAAACTAAAAATAACTATTAGGAAAATAAAGTACAAGTATTATCTTGATGCTTGCTTCCTAACAGAACTAAAAGCAACAGAATGCTTACATGCCCTTGCACACCTTCAGTAGACACTGCAGTTTCAAATACAAATGGTCAACAAAGAGAGCTTTAATGATTTCTCTGTTATTAATGTTAAAAAATATAAACATTTTAATATACTCTGCACTTACTATTAAAATAATATCTTACATAGGGCGGTGATCGCAATGCCTTGGTGTCAGAGAGACAGTTATGGCCGAAGGGCAGAATACCTTACGTAATAAACTCTGATCTTAGTAAGTAACATATATTTATATTTCTTGTTTATCACTTCTTTGTCATTTTTCGTAAAAACACTGAATAGAACGAAGAACTAGAAAATGAGACAATGAAATTACTTGCGTAGTTTTCGGCCCTTTTCTACTAAAATTTATGGTACGAATATCGACAGGGGAAAATTATGAGAGTAATTTAATTTCCGAAAGAAGAGTTTACATTAAGAACAAAAAAAAAGTATTAATCAATAAACTACCAGTTGCTATCCGAATATTTATTTATTTAAAGAAACCTACATTCTAATAAGAATGGGTAGTAACATTAATGTTGAACTCTCTAATACACCCGCATTAATACTTCCCTATATCTTCAATATCGCCCGCTGTTATTGTTCTCCATTGCTAATCTTTATGCCTTAAGTCATTTAATACTGCTGAAATTGCTGTCTGTGGCGTCTGCTATAACTTATAAGCCTTTGTCAACGTTCGATCTGTCTTTTTATGTGCAAGGATATTCATACGATCACAAACATTAGATAGTGGACGAATCTATTTTAAAATTTAGGGAAGCTCACTTTCTGAATGTCTTGGGAATCCCTTTCTGAATGGGGGAGGAATACGCAAGGGAGAAAAGTACGCGAGTAAGTATAGTAATACTTTTCTTAGACTAACAATATCAAAATAAAAACTTCTCTTGAAACCTTTTGTACGCTTAGTTTATGTCTAAAATAATATTACCATATACAGTCATATTCAGGTATTTTTACAGTCACCTGTGTCTCGCAACTATGGTTTGGTCGTGATAGATATATATCTTTTGTTTTCCTTCCATTGGATACAAACTTCGGAATATTTCATTTTACATTAATCACTTATTTCATCAACTACATTCTTAGCGCATTGTAGAAATAATAAATATATCTACAGTTTCGTATGCTTAATACAACAGGTAATAAGCACAGGAACCTGAAAAACATTTAACTATATTATTTCTATAACGAGCTAAATGATATACATTCTTAGCTCGTTATCATTAAATGATCACGTAAGATCATTTATGAAATATTTTGCTCTCTTTATATTTTACCATATATCAAAAAGTTTGAATAAGACAAATCCATACTTCCTGTTTGCAAGTAAAAGGTATCTGAGTTTAATAAATATTTTTAATGTATAATTTGGAATCTGACACCGACGTTCAACATGGGTGCATCTTCCAGATTCTTCATGCACGTATATAACTGTCTTAAAGAATAAAATCTTTTCAATGAATCAAAGATAATAAAGAGAATAAATAAATAAATATACTATATTAAATAGGAGAAAATGCAAATCATACACTCTTTTGCAAAAAATCGAAGCACCATGAGGGAAGTGGTTGTTTTTGATGAAATCGAATATGTGTACAGCTCATACGCGGATAATAAAAATGATTAAAAAATCAATGTCATAGTACCTGTTTACGGCTCACAATCCCCCATTGAGTGTTCAAATTAGTAGTTGGCCGAACTGCCTCTGGGGACAATCCATGGTTGAATTCGTCGAGGCAAGGAGGGGTAGAGGTTCCTAATGTCATCTTTCGGCACATTATGCCAGGCATTCATCAGTTGTCGCTCCATATCTGCGATATTTTGTGATGCCTGAATCTGGCGGCCTACTATGTCCCAGACATTCTGGATTGGTAAAAAGTCTGGTGACCTCGCTGGCCAAGAGTATCAACCGCACGGAGACAGTCCAGAGATATGCCAGCGGTATGTGGCCTGGCATTATCTTGTAAAATGGCCCCAGGATGATATGCCATGAAGGGTAATGCAACCGGCCGCAGGATGGTATCAATATATCGATGAGCTATTAAAGATGTACGGAGGATGACTAAAGATGACCTGCTGTCATACGAAATAACGCTCCACACCATCACACCAGGGGTTATGGCTGTATCCTTTGTAAAACAAAGGCTGATTGGGACCGCTGGCCCCGTCTTCTCCAGATACGAACACGGTGGTCATCTGCTTTAAGAGTGAAACGGGATTCATCGCTGAACAATATACGATGCCACTCTGATGGCAGCCATGATGATCGGCTGCGACACCACTCCAGACGATTCCGCCGATGTTGTGGGGTCAAAAGCAAACGTCTTAAAGGCCTCTGTGAGCGTAACCCCGCCTCAGACAAGCGCCACTAGATGTTGGATGATACCACGAGAGGTACAGACGTGGCTGTAGTGAGTTGAATAACCGACAATGATTCCGTTGGGGCGGTTCGGCCCTAGCGAACAATCATTCTATCTTGCCTCGAATTTGTGATCCTTGGCCTTCCAGAGCATTAATTTCGTCGTCAACTTCCTTGTAGCAACCATTGCTGCCAATATCTTTGCACAGCAGTGTATGTATGCTACAGGTGGTGGCCTATTGCTCGGTATGACCACCCAGCTTTACGCAACCCTAGAATGCGACCACGTTCGAATTCGTTTAGTTGTCTTTAAGGTTTTGGATATCGTCGTAACGGCATCTTTAGTTGATTCTTTACGAAATTACAATGGCAGCAACCAAAGAGAAAGATAAATGTACCGCCTCTCATACTGGTTTTATACTTAATTAATTTGCAAATTGCGCACTATAAATGTGCTATGTGATCCTAATTCCTGTTCATTTGTCTTGAAACTTTGATCATTTGCATGTTCGATCAAGATATTTATACATACCAAATTTCGTCATGATCACAAAATTCCCTCTTCACACAAACAAGAGTATTATATAACAGATTAATTCGTATTTTGATAAAGTGTTTTCCAACTTTTTTTAATGAATAGTCTTCTTTGAATTAAAATTTAGGTGTTTGTCTCAATCGGGGACACACAAACAGAGTATTACATAACAGATTAATTCGTATTTTGATAAAGTGTTTTCCAACTTTTTTTAATGAATCTTTGAATTAAAATTTAGGTGTTTGTCTCAATCGGTGATGATAAAAAAGTAAAAAGAAAAAAAATTTAAAAATTAAGAAGCTCTTCTTTTGAGCATTAAATAATTTTTGATTGATCAATGTAGGCAAAACTCTTAATTATATATCGTTATATGTATTCAGTATAAGATATTTTCATTTTTATTAATAATTCTCTTAAAATTTTAAAAGTACAATAAAAGTAGCACAGTAAATGAATAAAAATTTAGTATAAAGGTAATACAAAATAAATAGCGAACTACAATCTCGTTCGAAGCGTTGTTGTTATGGCAAATTTTTGTTGTAGAAGTTTCAGCCCAACACACAAGAACTGGGAAGCTTCGAATAAAGAAGAATTCGTCCGGATTTTCTTCTGTTGGATTCTTCCTTCGGAGAGTAACGGACAACTCAAATGAGAGTCAGTTACATTTTTGCAATTCTAGAGCTGTCTAGAATCCGTAATTCTCGATGGTATGGCTGAAATTTAGAAAGAGAACACAAAGATAAGAAAAAAATTACTTTTATAAAAAAAAAATGAAAAACCAATTTAATAGCCAAGGAAATTTTAGGTAAATAAATCAAACAAATTTGTTATATAATCTTTTAATTTAAACTTTAATTCGGATTTCTAAAAATCGCAATTTTTATGGAAACGTTCTTTATAGATTACATGTACCGAGAAATTAAAAGTTACACATATTTTTCTGTATTCACGCAACGAATTAAACGTTTTAAACAAACTTAGAAGAAAACGTCTTGCGTTTTCCCTTCATTATTTTCTTCCTAGACCTTGCGTATTGACTGATATTTTTGACATATATTTCCAATGAAACAAAATTCTCGAATTACTATGTATTTGACTGTTTTATGTTATGGCAAAGCAAATTAGGGATATCTTTCTAAGAAGAAGCAAATCTTTATAAAGACTTTCTAAGAGAAAATATCTGGTATTCTCTATATATAGGGAAAATTCCACCGAATTAGTTTAATTTACGGTTTGCATCTATGAAATAGAATCAAATGCAGTTCTTTGCTTTGTTATGTTGTAGGTCATATTTGTTAGTTTAGGGTAAATTTTGAGTCAAGAATTAGGCATACGAAAAAATAACACAAACTAGGAAAAACAATTCTATGTTTGGGAAAAAAATCTCTCTGTACAAGATTGGTTACAGAAAAGCCTGGAGTGCTCAGGGATAAATTACTTCTATCTAAGGGGAAGCTATGACGTTATTAATTTTATAAAATTACATGCAAGGAATTTTTATCATATGTCCATTCCATTTTTACCATATATTTTAGTATTATTAGAATCAATATATAATATTGTTCATAATAATTATTTTATTTTGTGTAATAAATACCATAATGCTTGTTTATAATCAACGCTCAGAAAAGATTTGAAGCTGATACTTTATTTCACATTTTCTCTAGGGGACAAGACAGATCTCATAAAGAAAGCAATGAAGTTTCTTAAAAATAACACTTGCATTCAGTTTGTCCCAAGAACTATTGAAAAGGACTACATTCGAATAGTGAAAGGCTCTGGGTAAAAAAGAATTCATAATTCGTTTACAATCTCTTATGCACATAACATTTTGCAGGCAGACTTTATCTTCTATATCAGTTGAATAACGTTCAGAATATGCACTATGTTTTAAATTTTTGCCGTTTTTTAACAGGTAGAAAAGTATTTGATTAGAATTATTTTCATGGTGGGGTACTTTATACCTCAATCTTTATAAGAGGCAAATTTTTAGATGTCAAAATTTTCAGGTGTTATAAAAAAATATTATTACATTCTACAATAAAGTTAAAAAAATCAACTTTTAAAATGAAATATTGAAAAATATATATGCACAAACTTGTAAAATGAAACAATATTACGTGGTAGATATCACTGCAAATCATTTTTAAGGCTAATCAATCGATGGTTTTATTTGGACCGCTCTGAGAAATGTATGCAAAGGCAAGCCAAATAGTATGACGTAATGGCATTATAACCTAGAAACTGAAGAACCAAGGTTGTTTCAATTTGTAGCATATGTTTTAGAGATTTTACCATTCTTGTTTTAAAAGAGAACGAAGCGTTTGTTTTATATTCTGTGACATTTTCGAAACTTTTCAACTGATACACTTTTAGATGCTGAAATTTTAAAAGCGCGAGCACCAAATAGTAAAAATAATCGAGTATTTTAAAATTCGCCAAAAATATCAGAAACAACTATAAAAATTTGATAAATATTTCATTTAAAATTTTTGACGCTCTATCCGATGCTTCAAAACATGAATTTCTGGGAATTTGATTTTGTTCCTTAAACGAAGAAATATACAAAAAATGTTTAAACATTAAAAAAAATCTAAATCAAATTTAAAAAACAACGCTTCACCACATTGTATTGTCATAAATACACAGTGTGCGTACAGAATTTGAGCTCGATGACTTACCAGAAAGCAGGTCAAAAGTCAATAACAAACTTCCGATCATACTGCAAACAATGGCTGTTATAGAACATGACGCATATATGAGGCTCTTGAGAAACATTGCAAAATTATTGAATCACCACTTCGGTTTAAATGCAGTATGAATCAACAGGTGAAGGACAAATAAGCTCTGGTTGAGTTGAAATCTTCTGTTTATAAGAATTTTGAATTAATCAAAGCTGTTAAGAAACATGTAGGGACAGTTTGAAAGACGCCATTTCAAGGCCCAGGTTATGCTATTCAGTATAAGATATCAGTATAAGCCGCCATCTGACACCACAAAGAATAATGAAACGTTCTTGGATTTTTGGTTTATTACTTGCTTGTAGACTCTTAAAACTTCTTTTCTGACGATGGTTATGAAAATTTTTAAACTAAAAATGAATACATTAGAAGCTAAGATGGGTTCAATAATTTGAAAATAATTGGAGAAAATAAAATTTTAGTTAAGTAGTTTTCCGAAAATCATCGGAACAGATTTCAAGCCGAGATTAAAGAAAAATCTCCGGAATTAAATCCTTCAAAAATTGTGCCAAGTTAAATACCTAATGAAAATCTTCTGAGAGCAAAATTTTGAGGAAAATCCTGAAATTTTTTAATCTGATGAAAATAAGAGTCTACATACATAGAATCGTATTTTAGATTTCGTTTTACTTATGACGAAACTTTCAGTACGTTAAAAATTTTCAGGCACGTTGTGATTGAAATGCATCCTGTGGTAAATGCATTCTCCATCAAGATAAGTTGAAAATTAATTGAAATGCATGTGAACTGGATGATTTCTTATCATGAATAGATGTGTTAATTTCATTTTGGTTGCAATTATCGTGTTGACGAATCTAGTGAACCAACAGTCAGTGTTAACTTCTCTGAAGAATATAAAGCGAAAGATTGTTCGAACAGGAATTTTGCAGTTTGTATAAACTCTATCATTTTCAATCCTAAAAAAGCAATATGCAAAAAAAAAGTGAATGTTAATTATAAACTCTTTTCAGAGTGCTTTCCTATTCGTATCTTTATGAAGAGTAACATTCAATCTCGGATTGATTATGGTTAGGTCAGATGAGATTATTTTGAAGTGTATGCAGCTAAGTCTTCATAAATCTAAATCTGCGACACAGTGATTCATTTTAAATAATGAAACCGATAGTACTGACCTCACGCTGGTTGAGAAGTCTCATTGCTACAAGAGTTCTCTTCCAAGATATCCTACTTACAGACTTAATTGCGATCCGAAGTCCGGTAATAATAAGATGGCAATTATCGTTAAATCACATGATCTTTCAGTTTTTCATGATTATAAAAATACGGATTACAGCACGTTCACATTGGATGCTGTTGTTGGCACAACTGGGATCACTCCTTTCGTACTATTTTGAGCCCTCAATAATAATAAATATTCAAGTTTTCTGACTTTCCGAATATTTGGATAGACTGCAATCCCAGTCAGTCTGAATATTTAAAATTCTATTCAATTATGAATACTGAAAGGTTTTTGTATCCGTAAAGAAAACCTTAGATTCGGGAAAAACGGGACTAATTTCTTTATTTCAGCGCATATAATATTACATTTCCTTTTGCACTGTTTCTCTTTAAATTGTTTTTTCTCTGTATCCTAGATGCAATTCAAAATTAGGAAGAGGAAATGGAGGAGTGCGGGTTGTTTCTCTTGGTGACGGCTGCTACAAATTAGGCACTGTCATACACGAGCTAATTCATTCAGTTGGATTTCATCACGAGCAAACCCGTTCTGACAGAGACCAATACATCACCATTCACTGGGAAAACATCAAGAAAGGCAAATAAATTTAATTACATAAGTAATCGCTTCCAAAGAAAAATTCTGTTTGTCCAGATTTATTTGCAAAACAGGTGTGTTTCTATGATATTTCAAATACATTTTCGATGTAAGATTGTAGAGACATTAGGATTTTTTGGAAGCAGGCAAGATAAAAAATATGCAACGCCTTCGCCGGGAATCGAAGCGCGGACCTCTCAGTTATGCGCTGAGCGTGCAGAGCACTACACCACGAAGTCTAGTTAAAAAGTTGGGAAAAATACCTTATAAGGTGAATCATTCATGTCACTTACACACGCCTTCCGCATTACCTTGTGATATTAATTACTCCACACTGACTAATTTTGATAAAAAAGACATGTTTTATTTAAGAGTTACATAAAAATATTAATCTTATCAGTCTTTATTAATAACTAGTCAAATAGAATGAGGATTATATTTTGCCTTAGAAAACTAGCGGCTCCAAAACTTGATCTGATCTTCGGTTCTCTAAATGATGAAAGATATCATTTATATCTATGCTTGTTTTATCCTAAGTTTTAAAAATGAAGTGAATCAAAAAGGAAAAACAACGCTCTGTTTTTGCTATGAAACGATGTGTGTCAATTAGCGAATTAATATTTTGCACATCAGAGCGTTTTGATGTACTTCTAAATTATTCGAAAGTTTAATTCGCATTATGCATCTTTCATTTTTAAATTCCTACTATTAAGTCACACTTTCCCTATATCTTGTTAAACTTTTCAAGCGTTAATAAAATACTTTTTATTCATCCACTCAAGTTTAAATACATTTTTTTAAACTTGTAGTGGATGACAGTTCATGTTAATACAGTGTTTTCAGATATTAAATATTTTTAATGAATTTTTTTGTATTTAAAATTTTTTTTGTACTTTATAAATATTTCTTTATTGGCCTAAGTAGGAATTGACTTTAATTTAATTTCAAGAATAAAAATATTTAATTAATTAATTAAATAAAAATATTTAATTAATTAACTTTCAATCGTTAATAAAATACATTTATTCACCCACTCAAGTTTTCATACATTTTTGTAGACTTGTAGTGGATGACACTTAATGTAATACAATTTTTTCACATATTAAAATGTTTTTAAATTTGTAATTTTTAAAAAATTTTTGTATTTTAAATTTTTTTTCTTTCTTCCTTTTTTTTTAATTTTTAAAATTTTCTTTGTTTGACCTAAGTAAGCATTGATTTTATTTTTTTTTATATTACTTGTTTCTAGACTACTTTTACTTGAAAATAATAAGACTCTTTTTCCTAAGTTATTCAAGCATTAGAACGTCAAAAATCAAAAGAGATATCTTAAGAAAGGTTTTGATTGAATGCAAGTTGTTAAAATGTATATTTTTTAGATTAAAATCTCATTCACGTCTTTCGGCTGTATTTTATTTAATTTTATATGTAGTTTTTTAGTTACAAAACGAACCTCGCCTAACATCTTAAATTCCTTTTTATTCGGAATTATTTATTATGCCATATTACTAGCAAATATCACTCTTTAGTAACGGATATTTTAGGGAGAATTTAAAAATTTAAAACTTCACTTAGTGGTTTTTTTAATTCAGTCTTCCCTTTTCAACATGAGAGATTCACCGGGTGAGAAAGAAAGCATGAGTATTCAATTTGCCTACAACCTGCAGTTAATAAACACCATCACAAGTCTGAGAAACAGCAAATTGGACGCTCTCCTCCTCCTCTTCTTTTGCCATAGACTGCAAGCCGGCTTTCGGGTCGAGGGATTTGTCGTATTTTATGCCATAGTTATGCTAATCACCAAACATTCGAATGTTTTCCGAGATTCCAAACAGAGTTTATTAGTATGGTAGCTACCACACTAAAACCTATACTGATCGAAGGGTTTTGATTTCAAATATTACACACCTCTTGTTATAATTGCTGTCTCTCGTCTTTCGGTAACTTCCCTGTTCGATTTCTCAATAGGTGGAGCTGTTCGGAGTTCAATAGATGGAGCGTAGTGAGTGGAGATCTGAGATTAAATATTATTAAGTTATTTAAGATTTTAAAAAGTGCTGACTTCATTTCATTTATGATGTAAAACAATATACTTCCATAACGGAAGACAGCGACAAATGTCTCGCTCAAAATATACTGCATTTTTTTCTTAAAAATAGACGCTGATGTTTGCTTATTGTAAAATTTCTGACTGTTTGTTTTTTACTGTGTACCGTATGAACTCGTGTCTTTAATATTATGTGTATTGAAAGTATTCTGTTTTTAACCTGATATAGCAAACTGATTTGCTTCCTTAGGACGATTTTTTGTTGAGTACTCCCGGCAAAAAGCTATTGATTAAAACCAAATTATATTCTAAATAATGATTCTAGTTGTGATGCACATTACACCTAAAATATAGAGTATCAAATTTAAACAATCTATGTCTTTTTAAAATCACACACACACAAATAAAAAATTATCCTTGGCTTATACTATCACAACTATACATAATATAAGGTTCTTCAAAATAATTCATTCAATTTCAAATTATTTTTCCTCTAAACTAATTAACACATTATCACATGTAATGCATTAAGAACAAACACTCTAATTTAATTACGAGGTTTCAAAGCAACGTCCTTTGATTGCAAGAAAAACATAAAGATCATAGTAGTTTTTAAAATTAGGTAGATGTGCGAACAGAGTTAGTATAAATACAATTTTTTTAACTTACACGCAAAGGTAAAATTGTAGGGTGTAACATTTTGAAACTTTAAGCTACCAGTTCTAGTATAATCTACTTGTTGCCAAAGGAGCAATCAATAGAGGAAATAATATTTTCTGCATACATATTACGGTGATATTTTACAATACAAAGCTTTTTTTTAAATTAAGTTATCTGACTCGACGGTTAATAAGCACGAAACTATGCTCGAATGAAAAATAGCACTCACTGATCATATTTTACAAGAGTTAAACTTTCGTGTTATTTTTTTCTTTTCTGATAAGTTGTACAATTCGGCTTTTAAAGGACTGAATCTGACACAATTATTGGGGAATTTATACCATTCCTTGTCAGTGTGGCTTAATTCATACTGGATAAACAAAGCCTGCTTTAAAATTCCTCATGAATTCAAACTATGAATATGTTCGAGAAAAGGCAAAAAAGTAAAATTACGCAACACTGTGGCCTACAAACATCAGTTCCAGTTTATCTTCTACCAATGCCATCCAAAATACTTCCTCAGGTGGTAAATTAGATTTTTTTCTAAATTTTCAGTACCTTTAAAATTCCCTCAATATGACTTGATTTCTAAATTTACTTTTCACCAGTGTATATAGTGACAAACTCTTAATTTATTTCCAGTTGTTACGTTTAGACAGCATTTGTTGATCTATTATGCTAATTTTCGTTATTTCTCCCTTATTAGCCCCCTTTCGTTATTACTTATTCTAAGCAGAAGTCACTGTAGAGAGGGTCATCATTTAGTTTACTAAGTTCTTGAAAATTCTTTAATTTCCCTTTTTTTTTGTGTGTGATACTACATATCTTTCATTTAATTACAACTAAAACGAACGATAGATAACAAGCCCTGAAAGCGTTTCTAAAAAATGAAACTCAGCGTCAAATAACGTTGTTTATATGTACTTGACTTTGTTTGTAGAGAGTCTTATGTATCATCACGGTACTTTTATAATCCTATTTTCTTAACTCAACACTGAAGCTCATATTTTTTAATATATATGCTTTGAATCACACGATTAAAATATATTATTTTCTTTCAGGTCATGAGCACAATTTCGAAAAATTCAAACCCATGGAGAATATTCTTTTGTTAAAATACGATTACAACTCCATTATGCACTATGGATCTATGAGCTTCAGCAAAGACAAGAGCAGAGGCCTTAAAACAATGACTGCTAAGAAGAAAGGCGTTACGTTGTTATCACCGAAAGAAAAAATGCCGACTTCCAATGATGTTAAAAAAATTAATTTGCTTTATAAATGCTCATCCCGATCATAGATAAACTGTTATTTTATTTTTCAATAAAATATTTTTTTATGTTTAAAATGCGTTTGTAAAATTATTTCTATAACTGAAAATGGTATAAAAAATCTATGTACGTAGCTGGCACAAAAGGAGCATGTAGAAGTTATGTACTGTGAATGGGATAAGACACTACCGATTAACATTAATTAAAAAATTAATATATTTGTAGTTCAAATTTTATCAGCTACCTTCTATATTTGATGAGCTCTGTAATAAATATTACACAAAAACTTAGGATAGGAAGTTTATCAGTCTTGCTCTTAAAGTGATCCATTTCGCAAAGTGTTTTTATTTATCAATTTGTAATGATCCTCCCTTTTATTCTATTAAACTAAGTGTTCGGAAACCCAGTGAACTACTAGGTGAATAATAGCTTAAGTCCAAGAACAGAAACGTGAACTCAGGAAGGGTTAATTACCCTTTATTTGCTCCGAATAAAGATATACAGTTGGCTCCTTTCTCAGAGCGGACAACAAAGACTCCACTTGCGCTTAAACACAAAATGTAAGAAATAAGAACAAAGTAATGGCTAACTAAAGAGATTTAGCAGAAGCTAACACAGTTCTAAACTAGTTAGCCCGTAATTTTAAACTAGCTTGCGAAGCTATCAAAAGGCAAGTAATACGGCCGAGTGTAGTAACAGTTAGAGAAGCGTAGCCAAAAGGCAAACGCGGCACGCTATTCAGGAATCTTAACCCTCTCTCTCGCAGTCAGTGGAACTTTGACTTAAATACTTTCTACTTCTTATTTGCATTTAACGTGTGATTTCTAAAAACTCATTCTGGTAAGGAATTGTATGCTGAAGCTAGAAGAGATAGGAAAAATTTCATAAACTTAAAATAAGTGTTATAAATCAGGATATACCTTACAAATTAAGAATATTTATATAGTGTTATTAAATTTTATTTAACTCGTATTTAAATTTATTTAAAATATTATATTTCCCGCTAGCTCCGAATTAAGTATGCAAATAAATGTATATATTAATTATCGATCGCTTTTGTATAGTTTTGATTATAAAGGCATGTTTAAAATATTTTTTAAAAACGGAGAAAGTGATATCAACATGTAACGCAAGTCTTTTCTTTCTAATAAACATAATAATTTATAATAACTTAAATATAATTTCTAATAAATTATAATAGTACTCAAGACATGTTTAAAAGAGAGGGCAGTATAAGGCCCTAGTGTCCACGTCTGTCACCCAAATTTTCAAACAGCATTTGTTTTACATTTCTAACTTATTATTTTTTACTTTACCTACAACAGGCTGCTATTAATGTTTTCATCTCATCAAAAGTACGCTGCTCTTTATGTTTTTGTTTTATGAGCAGAAGGCTGGTCTTTATGTTGTTTCTTCCATTAACAGTAGGCTGCTTTTTATGTGTTTGTCTCATCAAAAGTAAGCTACTCTTTATGTTTTTTGTCTCATCAAAAGTAGGCTGCTCTTTATGATTTAATTTGGAAATGATATATTTCCAATAATCCCAGATAACAATGACTCAATTCAGTTATTACTATAAAATTTCATTTCTGCACTTGAGCGTTGGGAATGGGAGGACTTAGGTGACACTGCAGCAAAATTTCAGAATATTTTTCGAGAAGTTTAACGGAACGTAATTCTCACTGAAAAGAAAGAACGTTTATGAAAAATAAAATGTCCTCTCAACTTTTTTTTCCTTCCTCAGTTTCCCATTTTAAACGATCAAAATATAAGCAACAATTCTAACAAATGCATATGCTTTAAATCCACGGTAAAAAACTGCAATCAAGAAACTAAATAGGCACATTCAAAAACGTTGTCGCATGGCATACCATTAAAAAAGCACAGTAGCTATACAAGGACACATTCGACATTATTGTTCCTAAATTAAGAATTATGGAGAAAATGCTTAATGTTCCTGCATTGCATTTGAAGAATACTGTTGGTCATTACATCGCAATAAATGATTTGTTTGAAAAAAGAAAACCGCATTTGTACTTCACAATACGATATTGATGACTATAACTCAAGGAAATGTGAGCAATTTTATGACTTACTGTATTAAAAAAATTTAATCATAAATTCCAAATAACAAAATACAATAAATAAATAACATGGGTATAGGTACCTGAAAAGTACAATTCAGAATAATCAAGTTCATTGATGCTAATTCGATCGTAGAAAAAAATAATAACTGACTTAGCTTTCACGTTTACGGAAATAAAATTTTTGAAGAAAGAAACGTGAAAAATCAATCCTGTTCCAACAAGAATTAGAGCTAAATTTCAATTGCCTAACAGCTTACGCCACAAAAGTGCGCAGGAAGGGTGTGATAATTGCTTATAAGGTTATAAGGTCTTTTTTTACTGTAAAATGGGACTTAACTTTTGGGGAGATTTTAAACAACTGATCGCTCAGTCTAAGAGTATTAAATACAGAAACTTGAGAAGGGTGTAAAGAAACTTTAAACTTTTTAAATGACAGAAGATATTTCTTGTGCTTACAAATCTTCCAGCATCTGTGGCGAGAACTCAAAGTATAAACTCAAAAGTGAATTTAAATGCTAATAACCATAGGCTACAGAGAGCAATTTAGTAGCGAATTTGGCTCGAACTTCATCTGCGTGATTTTAACTATCGGCAAATAGAAATGCTGAAAACAGAAACTTTTACCTGGAAATAGCCAATATAGTAATGTGAAATTCAAACGGGAGAACACACTCTGATTTAACAATCTAAAATTCTCACTTAAATGTACGCGAGTTAATGCACATTCTGGCCGAAAAACAGAAGAGAGAAGCGATAGTAAAGATTTCAAACATAAAAATGCCTATTTAAAAAAACCGCATAGAGTTATAACCCAAGTGTAACCATTTAGACATTTTACCAGTATTATAATCATAGTTGTTGCTAACATTGGTGCTACTTTGGTAGACGGTTGCACGGATTTATTTTTTTTTTTTTTGAAATGTATGGTTATTAAATAATTTTAATTCTAGGCGTGATGTACTCAGCTCTCTGATTGGTTTAGAATATTTGTGCATTAACGAGCTGTAATCAGCTCCCTGATTAGTTACTGAAAATTTGTGCATTACCGCGCCATTTTAAAATTTAATTTTTATCTTCGAATTACTTCAAAGTTGAATGTTGTTATTGGTATGTACCAAGAATTATTGGTATCGGAATCAAAAAATTGCCTTTACACTTCAGGGAGGGGCGGTTAAAGGATCTTCGAAATCTTAAACACAATACCTATTATTAGAGTTTTTTTTCCAAATTTTTTTGTTATTTTTAATGTTTATGATCCATTAATTGGGCTCTAAATTGCTTTATCTTTTTTTTATTTTTTTTATTCCTGCCCTTGATATTACATTTTTCAAATTTTTTTCATTGATATGTAAATTATGATTCCGATTTTTTTGTGGTACTTATCAATAAACGAAAGGTTAAATGACCCCAAAAAATGTAAGTGCATATTTTTCTTTTATTTTATAATTGTATACTTCAATTTTGGTTAAAAAAATTAATACACTATTTTCAAAAATTGCTAAGATAATTATTGTCACATATGTTTTAATGTTAATTATATTCTATATAATGTATTTTAAGTATTTGAATTTAGTATAATATTTTTAATTCTTTTAAATGTTGGTATAATTATTTAAATGTTTTTAATTCGATATTCAATTTAAGTAACATTTTAATCTAATTAAACGCGGGCACAATGTTTTTATAGCGGTGTTTTTATTCTCTTCTTTGCTATATGAAAGTAATATTAATCTTACTTTAGTATTTTATACTCATAGTAAATGTATTTATTTACACTTTCCTGCCATCTTAAAAAACGACATTTTCAACAAAAAATTAATCCATTACTTTTAACGATATTTATACTTTACTATGCGTAAAAACAGCGTTTTTCAAGATGGCTGACGTTGGCAAAAATCGCGCTAACAATTGCGCCAACGTAAATCGTCAAAAATCCGGCAAACCGTCTACCAAAGTAGTACCCTACCATTTTACATACCTATATTTTTCCGCACTTTTTCCTCTCTCCTTTCTCTCTCGCTTTTCTTTTCTTTTTTTAGTCCAAAGGAGCTTTGTTCTGAAGGACTATTGTTCTTGTTTTGCGATTTTGCGTTGTATCACTATAAATGTCCGTTTCACTTTTCCAACTGTTGCCACTAAATGTTACAGTCCTGCATTATATTTGAAGAAATTAAATAATGAAAAATCTGCATTAATGTATGTATGTTGTATTTCTCGCATTGTGATAAAAAAACGGCACATAGAACCATTGAATTTTGAATGACGTAATCCTCCTACGAATATGAGCATATGGAAGACCAACTTTGAAATTTGTAATTTGTTTTGTTATCGATTTCATCTTTTGTAAAACTTTAACGAATTTTTGATTAACAAACTCAGCGATTTAAAAGCGAGCCATGGCAACGTTGTACAGAAAAAAAAAAAATTATCTCCAACGCTTGAGTCTCTGTATCGGAAAGTCTAAAGATATGCTCATGTTAAACTATTTTGTAATATTGCTGTTGAACTAAATATTATGTTTTAAGTGCGACGAACGTGATATTTAATAAATAAATATAACACACAAAATGTTAAAAGAAACGCCCCTTTCGACCTAATTTAAAATCTGAAACTTTTCAGATTTTTTTGTTATTTTTTGTTATTTTTATGATTTTTAACTTTTAGTGTGAAAATTTACATCTAATGTGCCTTTATGTGTTTTTAACTTCATTCTTTATGATTTAATTTTTGTTTACAAATTCAGACTTTACTGACCTTTATTTCTCTACCTTAAACGTCTGTTATATTTTAAAATAAGATCTTGCAGCATTTCAAGTTCTTGATTTAGTTTTAATTCGTTTATATTTTGCATAAGCTTCAATCTTTCAGGCAATCAGTCTTACATTTATGTGTTATAATACACGCAGTATCATTGTAGAACAATAATATAGCCAAACATGATAATGGGCTTCAAGAATGATTCTCCTAGGCGAAGCACATCATGGGCACGT